ACAGAGAGAGGGGGATACATACAGAGAGAGGGGGATACATACACAGAGATAGGGTGACAGAGAGAGAGAGACAGTCACTCAAGATAGGGCTAATACCCACTGAATGGAAAACTGCTAACATCATTCTCGTCCATTAAAAAAGGACACAAAACAGACCCAAGTAATTATACACCAATGAGTCTGACTTCTATTACATGCAAGGTTTTGGTATAGTACGGTAAGTCATACTTAACTCGTCTTATTGGTTGAGAGTTCTTTGAGCAAACAGGAGCAGTAAAGGACAGAAAATATGATGTGGTGTATTTAGTTTTTTTTAAAGGCTTTTGATAAAGTCCCTCATACAACACTAATTCTTCAATGGCAGGCAGCAGGCAGTCAAGGTCATGCAAGTATCTGGATCAAGAGCAGGTTGATATAGGGTTCCCAGCACTGGTCCTAGGGACCCTGTTTCCTGCTTCATCCCAGCTGCGCTTACAGAGAAGAGCCCTAGATTGACATAATAGTAGAATTTCTTTACATTCCTAAATTGTTTTCAGTTCCTAACCATGCTAGAAGTTGATTTTAACTATTGTGTCATGAAAGTAACTTGCAATTTCCAATTGTTTAGTAGAATTTAACTTGCCAGGTTCCAAACAAGGAACTTGTTCATTCAATTAGGGTTTCTGTTAAGTCAAGATCCTGGCTGGATTGAAAACCAGTAGGCGCAGGATTGCCCAGGACCTGTGCTGGGAACCCCGGGGGTACATTGATAGAGAATAGAGTATAGATAGAGTGGGAGTGCTCAGATTAGTGTGATGGGCAGCAATCAGTGGAGTACCACACGGATCTGTACTGGGACCACAGCTCTTCCCAATCTCACACCAATGATCTAGATTCTGGAATAGTTGGTAAACTAGTCACGTTTGCAGAGGAGACCAAATTAGGAGGATCAGCAAACACTGCAGAAGCAACAGCTGAAATTAAAAAAATTCAGAATTTCAGAACTGGCTTGGCGGGCGGCCGGCCCAGGAGGTTTAATGCGGACTGTGTACGCACTTGGCCTGGAAGGCGTTGTTTGTCCCCCTGTGGTCCAGGTCATGGCAGAGACAGCCCACCATCAGAGCTAAGATTTCAGAGTCGGAGAGGATGTCCTGGAAACGGGCCGTCTGAGGGGAGACGAGAGACAGCAGCTTGAGCGGCTCACTCTCCCGGGAAGTCTTCAATAACCCGAGCCGGCCCAGTCTCAGTCTTGAGTGATTATTGAAGAAGATCAGAGGTGGCAGTAAGGCATAGTTACGTTCCCAGTGCATAAACATCCAAACTCCTTCTCACCTCCAGAGACCATCCCTGGGACGAAGGAGCTGTGGATATGGAGGGGCTGGGAGTGTCAGAGGCTGTTCTGGAATCCGAGCTTTCTGACATGGCCGTGTTAGAAAAGTGGAAATCCACTGAGAAATGTACACCGAGCCCCAGTTATGTCTTTACTGCCATTCTATTATTCACAACACCCTTTATTTTATATACAGATCCCACCTGGCCTTGCACCTTCTAGACTGCAGGCTGGTGCGGCTGGTTTCATTCTCGTTTCTAGTCACATCACATTTCCCCATGAATCCCCATAAATACCGTAGCAGTGTGGCAGTGGGAGGAGCCGCGGCGAGCACCGGTACGAGTCGACGCCCCGTCTGAGGAGTGAGGCCAGCGGGAATCGAAAAACCAACAAAAAAGGAAAAATACAAACTTGCGCCGTTGCAAAAACCGGCTCTACGCCGTCTGTTCAAAACATCACCCAGGCTGGACTAACAGGGTCCAGCCTGGAAAAGGACCCCACTTGGAGGTGGGGATTGGACTGGACTATTCCCTATCTAGCGGGGTCCAGTCTGGGAGCGCAGGGAGCGCAGGGAGCGCAGGGCCAAAATAAATACCAATAAAACGGCCTGCCCAGGTGAAACTGCACAGCGGGACAGGCGACAAGAAAAGAAAAGGGCCGACCTCACGCTCGGGTACAGTCCCCCTCCGGGGCTGCCAGTATAGTGTAGCTCCCCTTGTGGGGTGGGAGCCTGCTCGCCCCGTCGGAGGGGTGTCCAGCGTGGTTAAACATTGCCTGTACAGCTGCTCTTCATCAGGCTACGGCGGTCCAGCTGTGACTCGCCAGGGCTTCGCCTCCACACTGAACACGCCCCTCACGTACTACAATACGGATGGTGCTCTGTCCCTGCTGGCTCTTAGGAGTTTTCCGTCTGTGATGCCTTTTGTCTCTGATAGCACTTGTCTTCGCCCCGGCAGGGGGGTCAGACGGGCGACAGCAGGGCACGCGTGCAGCCCACGGAGGGGAGGGGGCAGGACCGGGCAGGAACGGGCTTGCCTACCGTGATCATGACAAACATGCACTGGGACACGTTGAAGGCATGGCGCCAGTTATGGTACGCCACCTGGCGGTAGTTCTTCCTCACCGTGAGCAGCCAGCGGCACAGGACCTGGGAGAAGAGTGCACCGCGGGTTACCATTCTGCTGAATTTCTGTTTTCTGAAATCAACTCTTCCTCCCTGTAAATTTGTACCAGGTAAGATTCTGGGATCAGCTACCAGCAACCAAACTGGCTGGATAGGCCCCCTGTCATTTATAACCTCTTTCTCACTGTGAGGCATAAAGCTGGTCTAAATCAGGTGGGCATGTCAAATCATTGGTGATGGCAACTGTTTTCAAAAGGGAGACATCACTTCACTCATTTTGTTGCATTACCTCATAGTCAATTTTGAATTTCTGGACAATTCCCAGTTCCAGGAACATCCTGAGCGAAGCTGTGATCATCGCGTCGCTATCGAGAGAAAAGTCGTTGAAGTAGAATTGATCGATTCCCAGCTCAGTGACTAGAGGGATTTTAGCTGCCTGAAAGAAAAATAACAGACCTTAAATCATACAGTGTCTAAGGAATTGCATGTTGAATTCTTATTTTTACAAGCCCTACTATATAATAAATTGCTGACATGTGGGGAAAGTATCAGGACAGAATTACACCCTGAGACAGGAGCTGGGCCTGATGCTCTTTAGTGGACTCTAATTTAACGTAACATTCAGCACATAGTGTGATTATTGTAATTAGTGGGAGCAGTAGTCCGTAAGAGTCCTGAAAATCCCTTCACATACAGGAGGGCTGCTGCCACTCAAGCCGAGCAGCCCTCCGGGCTAACACACAGCGGCCTCCTGCACTGCCAGCCCCACTGCACAGCAGACCAGAGCAGGAGAGACACCAGGCTTCGCACCACTGCTGTGGGTGAGAACGTATACCCAGCACCTCATCTGAAAGAGTGGTATGACGTCTAACTGAGCAGATTTAAGAAAAGGTGGACCACAGTTTTGTTATTCCAAAGCAGGGGGAGTAGCAAACAGAAATGGAAGTAGCAAGAACACACACTGTACACATCTCCTGGGCAGGCCAGAGCCACACGATAAGACATGAGGGAACCACGTGAGGTGATCAGATAAAGCAGAGCTGCTTACACATCCGGACTGTGACCATGGCTCTAAACATACAGCATAGTGTCCGTTTGAAGGGAAACGCAAACATCTGGCTGTCACCAACATGAACAATATAAGATATTTAATTCAAGCGCTTCTTTGTTACTGCTACCCATTTTATATTCCACAAGAGAGCTCTTTCTTACAGCTGCACCACTTACAGAAAACCAATTACAACATCAAATGCATTTTAAAACGAGCAGAAAAACTCAGAAGTTAACATATTCAATTTCTTCTTGGTGCACTAATATTTAGTGACCCCATGACACCTGCTCTGCTGCCAGCGATGTTGTTCTGTATTATTTATACAGCAGCAGTTAGCTGGAGAGGAACTATGTTTCTGTAATAATCTTCAGATAGATTTATAGTCCAGGCGCGATTATGTTTCTGAACGCAGTAATCCAGGCCTCTGTACATAAACACCTGCCAAGACACACATTGACTGAGCCTACTGCGTATTTCACATCAACACAGACACTGCTGCAGTAATTGAAACCGACAGGGCTGCCATTAAGACTCACCTTAGGTCTGAATTCAGGTGATGTAATTCATTGTGAAAGTCGTTGCACACGTTAACGGTTGTCTTTTTATTAACACCTTTATTGAAATCGCTTTCAACCTGACCTGTGTGCCACTGAGTTAGGTGTTTTTCATAGTACAAAACAACACAACACCTGCTGGCACTTGAAGTTACCTTAAGTCTGTCCACTTCGACCTTCGAGCAGGTGGCGTGATAAGACAGCATCTGCGAGACAGAAATGCACAGAAGCCATTGTGTCGGTGACAACTGTGTCTCTCTCTCTTTGCCACACTCACTTTGAGAGAGATGGCATGAACAAATCAAATTGAACACCTTCGAAATGTGTTTACTGGGAAAGAAAACAGCACTCCCATTGCCATCAGTAGAACTGCATTTAAATCTTGTTATAAAGGATGGTTAAGTGACAAACTTTTAAAGTTTGGCTCTATTGCAAACAGTCATTACATTTTTCCAATGTGCATCATCCAAGCCAACATCCCCTGGAACTAAAACTGCTTGTTGTTCATTTCCTTGTGCATTTTTCAATAAACATGTTGCAGGACTCAGTGTGCTACTACATTAAAACAGCTATATTTCATACCCCATCGTGTGTTGCATTATGGTCATTAGATCAGAATGTTTCTTCTAATGTAGCACTGCCGTGTGCTTGCTGTGCTGATGAAAATGATCATCCTGGGTCACACTTTCTACCAGCCTGCTGCCAGTCCTGGCCTTCCCCTCTCTTCCTCTTCCTCCCGTTGAGCACTAGGGGCTTCTCAGCAGAGGGACACAGTGCAGAAGTTCCACTTCTTATTTATGTATTCCTGTGCTGAGGAATCTGTTTCAGTGACGTTAAGGCTTATGATTAAACTTGTTTGGAGCTACAGCATGATAGGGGATATCTGATCTTTGAGCTGAGAACCAATTAGTCCCATAGAAACCTTCCTTTTCCTTTAAAGAAACTCAATGGCGTATATGATCTGAAAATAGATCTGGATAGAGCATGTACCATGAATAATTAAATTGGGGCTTAAATATTTATGTTAGAAAGGCCTAGTGTAATTTAAACTAAATGAAACAAGCACTAGGCTTTGACCATGTTGTATTTACATTTTTTACATTCACGTTTTAAACTTCTGTACTTTTTAAAAAAGTATTCTGTACAATACTTTTTTTAAAAAGTGCGGAGTAATGTGTGTGTGTGGCAAAGCAGGGGTTGGAAACACGAGTGAGTTCCCCAGGGACGGGGTCATCCCATTGAGGAGAGCCACATTCTCCGGATTCTCCCGGGGAACTCACTGAACTGGCGGCACCTGGACACTCCAGCTCCCTATAAAAGCAGTTCCTGGAGGCAGTCTGAGGTTGTCCTTTCATGGACCCTCACGGTTTAGTGAGTGAGTTTTCAAAAAAAAAAAAAAAAAAAAAAAACACCCCACCAACAACTCTCTAGTCACAGAGGGCTTATAACAGGATAAATCTGGTAGCAGCCTCGGTCGTTTTCCGGGTCGGGACGCCGGTAAATAAGAAGACGGTTAATGAGCGCACCTGGCCAACCGGAATCGACCGAGAGGTTAGTTTCAGTTCACGTGGAGATCCTTTGCCACGCTATCTTAGAAGGGGATCTACCACAGTGGGGTATCTAAACATCATGATGTATCTTTATATTTATATAATGCATCAAAAGAAACATCACTCTATTTATGCATGAAAATCGTTCTGAAATGTAAATATTGTGGTGTGATTTTTGATTAACTGGGGGTGAGTTTCCCGAAAGCATCGTAGCGCTAAGAACATCGTAAACTCGCTCTTAAGATCGATCGTTAATTGACGAGTGTTTCCCAAAACCCATCGTAACTAAAGTAGCACGTTAAATCTTTCGTAGTCTACGTCTTCCCTGACCCACTCGTTAATCACTAAGTGCTTCTTAAACTGGCTACCTCTTGCGCCAACTTTAGCGACAGAGATCGCCAGACAGAGCACATTAAATTCACGTCATGGGAATTATCTGGAAATATAGAACACTAAAATTTTATATGAAGGATTTTGATATTTTGTTGTACGATGTAAGAGGAAATCTGAAAAAAGAACATTTATTTATACTGTAATTAATTTGCCATCTTGGGTAAATTTCATATTCATAAGTCAAATGTTTTAATAATACTCCCTCTTTTAGTACTTTTGAGGTGGGGTTTAAATTGTTTTTAAATTCCATAAAGAACGTGAAAAATGCCACAGCAAGGAAAAAATGTGATATATGTAAAAATATAACTTGGTTACATAAATATTTACCTCATTAGCGCTGGCAGTTAATTGTTTTGTTCTTTTTATGTTTTCTTTCTTTTATCTGTATTTTCCCCTCTACTTGTATTTGTTTGGGAGCTGCGGGGGCACATGGCCAGAGAACCCCAATCCGTTACAATACACTTAGTTAAAAAGAAAGGCTAAGTTTTATCCTTGACTAGATGGTATTATTTTCAGGATGAAATGCAGTAATGCATTAAGTAAGTTAAATCATTGGGCCGAACATGTATTTAAAATGTAGCGCTACGCAGTGCGCGCTGAGAACAGCACCTGGGGACTACCGGACTATATAGTGGGATGGAGGCTGGGATACAGTCTCTTCCCTTCAGGTGTGTGTGTGTGTTAGTGTAGGTGCAGCGCTGTAACCCCTGTCCCTGTGTGTGTACCTTTCCCGATTCAACTTCATAAATATGTTGTTCAGCCCCGTTCCCTGAGTCCCACGCCTGCTCCATTCCGTACCCAAACCCGCGGTCGATACAATATTTGAATTTCGAATACCGTTTTATGTTCTGTCGTGATTGTTGACGGTAAAGCTTAGACCTACTTGTTTTAAAAGGTGATTATAGATCCTGTATTTGTTGAGTGACGCATGCCAGGCTTAGTAGTTAATTTTTCCATTGAATTCCAATACACCCAATAACTATAAATAACAGTTTTTTTCTCATGAAACACTGTGATTCTTAACGATGGCAGCGCGACAAAAAGTATTGCTTTAAATCAAAGACGTCGTGCAGGACGCATACACTGTCCACACAGTTAAACTTGGTTTTCTTTTACGGCATGTCAGTCATTTATTTTATTTTCTCTTAGAAACAATAAGGGTCCCATTTTGTGCATATCTATACGCTTTCGCTTAAATTGTTAAATTATGATGTCATGTATGCTTCATATTCCTTTTCATAACCATTTCATCCCACTGAAGGACCGAAACCGACACCATATAATGAAAGTATTGTCAATCGATTGTTTTGTTTTAGCTTTTTGCTAAGCGACTTCAGGGGCGGGGTTAACAAAGAAGTACTTTATTCTCGCCCATTAAATGACCGATTAAGAGGGGTTTGGGGAAACGCACGAAAAAGTAGCTCGTGCGTTACGTACGTACATCGTAAAATTGCTCGTTAGTCTCTAAGATTAATCATTTTCGGGAAACTCAGTAACATGTCAGTGTACTGTACCTCTATACAGTAAAAACATGGTTTAGTATGTAGCTTTGCCAGCTGTCTGTTGCAGTTAGAGGTACGAAGTATCTCTGAATGCTTGGTGTATTAAAGAAGCTTACATCAAGAGCAACAGACTGTTTGGCCCACGTCTTTTTCACTTGGTTGTACATCATGGTGTTATTGATTCCTAGTCCACAGAAGATGACAAAAGCCTAAAATGAGAGACAGAAATTCAGGCTTTAGTGAAACACTCAAAACCACACGCATGCAAGATCAAGACCATACCTGCAGGAAGGAGGGCAGTGCTTGAGACTGATTTAACAGTGACTATTGTTGTCATTTCCTGCGTGTGCGTGTGCGTGTGCGTGTGCGTGTGTGACCTGCGATAGTGGCCTGTCCAGGGTGTACCCTGCCTTGTGCCTGTTGCTTGCTGGGTGGGCTCTGGCTTCTCTGCAGCCCTGAGTTGGATGGATGGATGGATTAAAGGTTGTCACGCACAGGGGGAAAAAAAAAAGTTATCATGAGTACATGATACATAAATGTATACAAATGTGTTAATCCACAGTAAGTGTCATTACTGTTCACACAGGGATGACATTGAATTAGTCAGTGACCGATGTGTCTGCAGCCTGGAGGGCAGGAGCTCCAGACCTGGGGCAGAGTGAAGTGGTCCGCGTGTGGCTCAGGGCTCAGGGCTGCAGGGCCGGTCTGAGGGGAGAAGGCAGTGATCGTCCTGTGAACTGTGACTGTGGCACAGTACGTATATCTCATAGCTACAGCTGTGTGCAGAGACTTCTCACGGCCGGGAAAAGCTGCATTCTGCAAACTGTATGAAAAACAACCACTCCAAATGAAGACAAGGCCACTGTTTGCTGTCTGAAGAAAGCGGGAGGAGAGCTGGGCTGCACTTCATTTCACATCAAATTAAATACAGAAATCACTAAAACGAGTAATATTCTAGTCCATGTTGTATCTATTATCCATCATTGTTATACAGAACCCTATAAGTTTTTCTTTCTGCCAGATAAAGAAGAATTCAGATTTGAAAAGAAGAAAAAGATTTGCATGCTAGTTAGTGTGCATTTATAAAACAGTAATAATAACAATTGCCATACAGCAACATTCCCACTAGAGGTCACTAAAGAGTTAGTGAAGCAGTTTCCAGGAGAGCAGCCAAAAACTGAGGATGTGCTTCTCATTTCAGAATAAAGCACCGGCTTGAAGGTACCCTAGTAGCTATCAAAGGCACAAAGACGTAAAATGAAACTCAAAAGCTTCTGCAAACAATCTTCTTCCAGTAACTAGACCAGAAATAAGTTTTACCCATTAGATTTAATATTATTTGAATCTACTAACACAAGGAAGGAAAGGAAGGAACAGCAGCCCGAACTTGTCTTGACTGCATATTTCTGAGAGACTCTTATTGTTTACCCCTTAAGCTTGAGTTATCACTATGAATGTTTCATGCATGCAGATCACTCTGAAGTGAGCAGAGCTGGTAAATGGATGCTCCAGTGGGGCCAGGCCAGGCCTCAGACCTGTCAGAAACAGAACAAGCACTGAACCCAATTCTGGCACAGAAAGAAACCGTATTCTTCAGCATGAACAACACCAAGCAAAGACCGGCCCATGAAGAGCTAAATAAGTTTACTCCTAAATAGTTAGGTCTAAATAGTAACTAAATAGTTCAGCATCTGCATGCAGGAGATCAACAGCCTCATGCAGCTGGGCAGGACATGTACCTCAAAGAGCCTTTGATCAGCATCATCAAACGTCTTCCTGTCCAGTCGATTCAGAATCTGGGCCACACCTGCAGGGCAGAAAGAGGCAGATGAGAGATTCGCACACTGCAGGCCTCTGGTAAACATGTGAGCAGGCCTGCGGGACAGTGGGCCAGTGGGCGGGCCTGTGGGCAGGCCCATCCAGCCCAGGGTCATTTCTGCAGCACACCCACCGATAATCTGATGAGTCCTGTTCCAGATGGGGACGCAGAGCACGGAGCGAATGGGGAACCCAGAGGCCTGGTCCGCCTGGAAGAGACAGCGGTCAGAGGCGAGACCCTTCTCACTGAGAGGGAGTTTCCAGCTTCGGTGCTCTTGAAGTCTGACTTGGTCTAACTAAGGCCATTCAGTTTTTCAGCAGAACTGCACACACATCAGTGCAGTCTCCTGTCTTTCTATTCTAAATAACAATCAAAAAAGAGAGACTACATTTTTAAGAATTATAATCACCAACTGTTTTCATTCCACTCTGCCCAAATTCCCACCTATCGGTACAGCCGGTTGTGTCTTTACTCTGGACCCAATGAGAAGGACCTGAAAGCTCCTCCAACCCACCAGAGAGTCACTCGGCTTCTGTCATGTTCTGACAACTTCACTGCCACCCCGGAGCCCGATCGGGTCAGATCAAGGCCGGTCCCGGTCAGGACTGGGGTGGAGACCTCAAAAGAAACCTGCTGCTGTGAGTGGTGCTGGTGGGCCAGTAGGTGGCGCTCTTCCCCCGGGGCCAGAATTTGCAATCCAGCGCCCCAGTATGGTGATGTAGGTGATGGCACTCACAGTAGGAGGTGTCATTGTTCTGAAGAGAGGCTTGATCAAGACCTGACAGCCTGACCGTGCTCCTGAGCAGTGGTGCTGAGTTTAGAAGAGGCTAAAGTCTGCTTCATCCCCTCCTCAAGAGCCATCGCAAGGCCTAAGTGACCACTGCAGGAATAAATGATCTCAGGACTGAAACCCAAAGAAGTGTAAACCAAAAACTTTAAACATTTCCGACAAGGGTGGACTGGAGTGTCAATTTAATCTCATCCAGGGCAGAGACCTCACACACAAGCTTAAACTATCCGCCCCAGGGGCCGAGGGACACGGTGTCCCCTTGTGGAGAGCCCAGGGGAGACGGGGCGGTCTGTGCCGTACCTCAGTGTCGAAGCGCGGGTCCTGGCACACATCGCTGATGTTCACCGGCAGCCCAGTGGAGGCCACCAGCTCCGCGATGCTGTTATTGATCAGCCAGTCGGAACAAGAGAGCTTCTCCAGGCTGGCACAGTCAGGGAGGCATGAAGAGCAGCGTTAGGTGGCAAGAAGTGACCCACAAGCTCCATCTATAGCCCTTGCAAGGAGTATAATGGCTTTTAAAGGAGGAGATGGTCTCGTACCTGTGATCATTTAAATACTGTTAAAGTAATTCTGTATCGGTAATAGGAGTGCATTCATGTTGTTTTGCTCATTATATAGATCACTGTACTTCAGTGCCTTATAAAAGTATTCAAACTCTTTTCATATTTAATATTTTATTCAAATCTTGAATGCTCAAATTAAAGGCTTCTAAGGGTAAGATACAGTAAGTAACAAATGTCAAATCAAATGGACTATGACACCTGCATGCAGCTAAGAATGGAGATACTGTATCTGCCCATTCTTCTTGGCAGATTGCTGGACTCCTCTTTGCTCTTTCAGGTCTAAACACACGTTTCTGTGATCTCACAGATTCTCAGTAGGGGGCTCTGACTGGGCTACTCAAGGACACTTGTTTCCATCTATCCTCCCACCAGTCTTCACAAGCTTCCCAGTCCCCGCTGATAAGAGGCGGAACTATAACTTAATTCTGCCAGCCCTGTGTTTGACAGTAGGGATGGTGTTGACTGAGTGATGCACTACGGTGTGTCAGATATAACGCTTTGCATCAAGACCAAAATGTTCCAATATTGGAACCACAATAAAGCTTTTGCCACATATTTACAGTATCACTCAGGTACCATGTTGCAAACCCACGTGGGATTTGAGATGCATTTTACCAGTTTCATACAAGCCCCTTAGTGGAGTGACCAGGGATATCGCTGAGCCATGGACATTCTGTCCCCTCTGTCCTCTGACCCAGTGGCATCACTGACCAGTTCCCTCCTTGCCCAGCTGCTCAGTTTGAAAAGACAGCCTGACCTAAACTTAGTCTTCTTGATGATTGACTGCAACATGTTCAAAGAGCAATTGAGGGTCTTTGACATGTTTTTATGCTCTTCCCTGTGCTTTTATAGCTTTATCCTCGAGGTGTTGTGACAGTGGACCACAGCTCCCACTGCACTCCCCACTCCGGCGTGTGGGAATGCGCAGCTACAGCACCTGAGGCTGATCAGGGCTGCGCTTTAAAGACCCCCACGCGCCCGCAGACGGCGTTCATCGGAGAACCGAATGTGTTCCCCTCACCGGCGACACACATCTACTCGGATCCACGAAAGGATTCTCTCCTCTACCAGAGAACAGAAACACCTGCAGACGACTACACACCGGCACACCGCACAGAGAACAACAAGCGCTCTGCCGGTGCTCAGCCAGCTCCCTATCACATCCGACACCATCACAGTGTTTTGAAAGCTCCTTGGACTTTGGTTCCTGGCTGCTGGTTGACTCTGCTTGAAATTCACTGTGTGACAAACCGTACAGAGAAGTGTATTTTTTTTAATTAACTCGTTACACTCCGATTAGGCATAGGTATGTTTTTGTTTCAGCAGATTTTTGGATATCTAGCTGGTTTTACCTGGTGACAGGAAACACGCAACACTGAAGACCTGGAGTGGAAAATATTGAAAGATGGGCATACTTTGGAAATGATATGCGAGGATGACTGTGTCAAATATTATATAACAAATGTTTAAATCACATCCTGATGTGTGTATGATTTTGTGAGCCATAATACTGCTAATTTTTATTAGCAATGAAGACCACTGGGCTGTGTGTGGGAAGGGGGCTGTGTCTACCTCTGGCTCTGCAGGGTTAATGAGAACAGAGGAGCTCACCTGAGGTCCTGGTCCGTGCAGCTCAGGGGAGACATGAGTTCAAATGTCTTTGAAAACTTAACAACCTGCACAACACAAGACAGACGAGAAGATGGTATAAATATCATCTCCTAGCCATCAAAATCCTCGTCAGCCTCGCGGCCTGACACCTGCCTGGCGCTCAGGAGCTCCTCTTGGCAAACTGCTTCTTTCAACTGTTAATCCTGTGCTTCTGTCTATCCCTCACCTCTAATAAATAACAATAAAGTTATTATTTTTTTAATCCTGTGCTTCTGTCTATCCCTCACCTCTCGGCGTCCTGAGAGATAGCTCTGCTGCAGCACTTCCCAACAGATGGTGATGCTCAAGCCTATAGCTAGCAGATGAATAACCAGATCATCTGTCATCTGTCATCAAATGGTGCAGTTTTACTGTTCGTGTCTGCTGCTAAATGTACTTTTAATGACAGCCATCATTTTCCATGTATGGTATATTAACTTACAATAGCCAGATCAAAGGTGTCCATATTCTACATTTTCATTAGAATAATGTAGTTTCATGGGAGATGAACTCACAGAGCATGAATGTATTTTTTGTGGTAAAGAGATTCTTGCAAAGCTCAATATAGGACATATCTGCTGCTGTAGTCAACTGTCCCTATTTCAGCAATCCAGAAGAGGTAATAATAACAGTCTACACTAACCTCAAGACCACTAGCAGACATTCGGGAAACCTTTAAAATACCTCCCCTGATCCTGGGGTATGAAACCTGTTTTAACTGGCAGTGCAGGGGATATTGCCCTGCGATTGTCCCCCTTGATCTACAGGTGGATGTTGCGGGTGTGGAGCAGGGCTGCCTGTGTGCTCTGTGAGGGGCGAGAGAGACACGGTACCGGGGAGCTGATGTCCTCCAGGAGCAGCACGGAGCACCTCTCGCACTGCAGCAGCGTCAGCGCTCTCTGCATGATCTTCCTCACAACCTTCTCCAGGTCCGTCTGCTCCTCGAACAGATCGTTCACCACCTCCAGCAGGGCCTGGGAAACACACCCACAGTGCCAGCTCAACTGCCGCGAAACTTCATACGCCTCTTTGGCGCCTCCAGTAAAAGACCAGTCAGGAAGGTTTAAGGAAAATTTTGTTAAATCCAGTCAGAGCCAAAGCCTCTTGGTAAGGATCAAGACAGGGTTACAGCGCAGCAGGGGAATTTTGAAAAGCAAAGCGGAACTGATCTTTCAGAGGGAACTGATCTGGACCCAGAGCTCTGCTCTGAGGCGCAGTGACAGTCACAGTCAGATTCATACTGTGTGTCTTGACTAGTCCTTCCCTGATCCTTTCAGCTCACAGCTGATGCAGATGTTCAGAGTGAAGCCCCTGGCTCCTGGCGCACAGCTGGAGCACATAGCCTCGAGGAAAAGAGCAATAATTTCTCACTCACTGTCTGAGGGGATCGCATAGTGACATCTTACTGTAACGCTCAATGGGACTGCAATTGCAAGGAGTAAACGTGGACAGAGCTCTTGGCTGAGGATTTGGTGGTTCTCTGCACTGTTTACTGCTTTGCTTTACCATGCTTGACCCGGCTGTAATTTAGGCCTTGCTTTGCATTTAAAGGTAGTTCTGTTTTCTGCTTACAGTACAGACTGCTGACAGAGATTAGACAGACAGGCTGATAGGAGGAGTCTAAGCAGATGCCTTACCCTGCTCCTTTCATACTCTTTGCGCGACTCAGAAAACAGCTTCGCATTGGAGATCGATATTCCACAGAACGGTAGGTACATCTGCAGGACCTGAGAGCACCAGAAATACCACATACATTAGAGGAACGTTTCAAGGCAAGGAGAATGATAGGAATGTCTGTCACAAATTCTAGAAGTGAATTACAGATTGAAACCTGAAGAGGAACAAGGGGCTGTTCTGGACAGAGGACAGCAGGTAACTGACACCCATCATACCAAACGTGCTGCACCGATAGGAAAATAAGAGAGTGCAATGCATCAGGGCTCTTAAAACCCCCTCCAAAAAAGCTGAGAGCCCCTGTGACTGGCGGACAGAGGCTGAGAGCGCTGGGTCTGTCAGAGGCAGCGCTACTGAAGTCTGACACCAATTAACTGAGAGAGGCAGGATCTCGCAGCCCGGATCAAAGGCTTTGCAGCTAAGTAAAAAGATCGAATCAGTTCTCTCCAGAAAACTTCAGGAGTTTATTGGGCTGCAAAAAGAACCAGAGAGAGCTGGGATAATCAGCTCGGACTTTCAGTGCTTTGAAATGATTTCTGTCTGCGCACGAGCTTCGGCAACGCACTCTGCTTTCATCTGCTCCCTCCGCTGCTGAAAGAGAATTAAACATTTAGCACAGCCCCGTCGTGCCTATTGAGCGCTCTTCTGCGGCAACTTGTGCCGGCTCAATAATGCATGAGCAAGGAGTGCTTGTCTGCAGCGATCTTCAAAACAGGCCTGCGAGCCGGGAGCCTTCTGCACTGACAATTTGCCGTTTTCGTGACCTGCCCACATATTCAGGCTGACATATAATTCCATCAAAAGCTCATTTTAAAAATTCCTGACAAAAGACCCTTTTCTGTTTAACCCCTAAGATTCACAACACTAAATTGTTATTTTCTCCCTGGATGAGAGCTCTCCTCATGGGTGGCTATCTCCACAACTGGCTAATCAGCTTCATTCCAGTAAGAAAGAGATGCAGAAAATCTTAAATTTTCATCTTCATGTATTCTGTAAAGGACAGTTTATTTGTTTCAAATTCAAACTTAAAACACCATTGCGTGACTTGGGTAGCTTCTGTAAAGAACAGTATGTGTAACAGTTCACTCTCTGCGTAAGCGAATGCACCACACGCTGTCACATCGGCGGTGAGTGCAGCAGAGCACAGGGACATATAACAGAGAATAAAACATGTAACAATCTATCTGACCTGGGGGAGCTGTTTCAAAGGAAAGGAAGTGTGTGGTATGAGTTGGGGAAAACAGCCAAAGTACAGTATTGTGCACAGTTCTTGTGGGAAGTGTTCATAACTGCCATCACACTGCACATTGTCTGCGGGGGGAGCCGTCTGTGGCCTCCTTCCTGTACAGGAGCAGGGCCTGGCCTGGTCAGCACTGGGGTGGGGCATCAGACAAACCAGGACTCTGCTGCACTGCTCATGGGCCCTGGAGTCCTGCCCAAGCCCTGCTCAGGGGGGTGCACTCTGGCCCCCCGAAGGCTCCCCCTTAACTCAGCTGGCGAATCAGCTTCTCTCCTCCCCTGGTCTGACGTGTGTCATTTCAGTGGCAGATGAACTGCGCCTGCCCACTCCTGCATTGCCATTCTATAATTAAGGCTCTAAACGCAATAAATTACAATATAATTAATACTTTTTTCGACTGTTCTGTTGACAGGTAGGTCTCCCCTCACTGAGTTAATTTGTTTAATGCAGTTCTTAATGTTCTGAATTTCCTGTGAATCTGTACCCCAGGTATTGATTTCTGGCCTGTTTGAATCTTTTCCCATTGATAGAACCAGTTATTACCAGCGTGAATCAGGCGTTCTCTTAGCGAGCTGCAAACAAGGCTTTCATCTCCACGGCTTTCAAGTCACTGCGGGGATATGCAGAATTGAGTATTGATTAAATTAGGAGACCACAGGCATATGTAATCAGAGTGGTGTGAAAATGAATTGATCCAACCAATAACTTTGCTTTAACTATCCGAAAACATGAAGGCTTTTGGGGGAGTGCACAGAACATCCAACACTAACTCTGGTGGCTCCTTCCACAGTGCGAAAGGACACCTTCTCATTCCAGAAGGGCTCCAGAAAGCAATGTGTTTCGGTGTGGAATTCACAGGACATCTCTGGGCTTTTAAGATAAATAAAGTGCACTGGACTGCAATGAGAGGGCAGGTTCTGCATAGGAGGAATTTAATTTTTATTATCACTCTATTAATTTTTTTCTGTAAGGGCTGAAATCCCAGCTGATGCTCTGTGCAGATGTACTTAGATTTGTCTTAAGCACAGCAAACTAAGAGCAATGTTTAGAGGGGCATCATCCATGTCAGACATGATGCTAAATGAGGGGATCTGCAAGCTTCTGTCCTGCTACCAAGACTTTCAGTGTTAATGGCACAGACAATGGCAGAACAAGTTAGATCAAGGGATGTAATATTAACAAAACACATGGCTGAGACCTTCACTGAGAATCTCGTCTGGTCTCTGCATTGCTGCCTCCAGAAGATTTCAGAGATATTGTCACAGCTTTGGGTGACTAAGGAAGTGTCTCTATCTAGATACCATGGGTAAACAGCTGGCTAGTGTCAACATCTCCAGCTTTGAAGCGAAGGGGTGTTTGACTGAGAGGTAGGGGGCCCAGATTCAGTGATCAAAGCAATTGTAAAGTTCACCTTGGTTTACACTAGCTAAGGAAGGGCTGGGTAAATGATTAAGTGTCAATCAACAGTCCAGAAACACCCTATTAAGAGGATGGTGAAGCAGAGTGAAGGGGAGGAAGAGCAGAGACAAGACAGAAGATATCGAAAGCACCTCATTCCAGATGACCCAGAAAGAGCAAATTGGAGCTCAGTATCTGAACCCCCTGTGCTGTGCTGTGAGGGGCGGGTTGATAACTGGGAGTCTCGCTGTGCTGCTCAAAATGAGGTAGAACAGGTCTGATGAGGCACGAGCAGCGTCTGGTGATCACAACTTCTTTGAAGGTGAACTAATGAAAGTTCACTTAACAAAAAGAATATTTAATTCTCTTTTTCAGATGGGTCCAGTCACACTGTAGTGTATAAAGGCATACGAACTTCAATAATAGATAATTCTGTCTTGTGGTTAATAATTTAAGTAGTGGTATGCTAAATTTATCCATCTTTTTAAAATGATCCCAAAACTAATGCGAAGAAATACCTGTTTTCACTAATTAGTTAGAAATGGCAGAATCTTTACTTATATTTCACACACTTTAAAAACGTCGTACAAACATGGGAAATGCTGGACGGCTTCACGTGAGTCCTGTTTGCGGTGTCTCTGCCATCTCGTGTTCGACCGTGGGAATGACGTGAGCTTGCGGGCTCCCTCTGCTGGTGGAGAAGAGGAATTCTTCGGGGGGGGGGGTGAAGAAATTGGAAATTATACTGAAACAGAAAATGTCCAATTCTGTTTCACTGGTATAAAATATGTGCATGTTTTTCCATACTGAAAAAGCTCAGAATTTAGACAAAAAATCGACACCCTATGTAAAAATCTAGATTTGCAAATCTAGATTTGCACCTGTCCACATTAAAGATCATCTGCCGGCTATTTGACCAGTCTAGAATTTCATTTTCTGCTTCCACAGTGTTTGCTAGGCCTCCTGTTTTGGTATTATCTGCAAACATGACTAATTTCCTAACTATAGGAGAATCTCAGTTAATCTAAATCAGGAAGAGCCGTGGTCAGTGCAGAGATGCCTGTGGTCCTCCTGTGAGTATATCAGCCCAACCTGAGCACTCATCCCTCACCTAGTCCTCGTCTGCACTGCACCTCTGAAACTACTGGTTCATTCCAAACATGCAAACAACCCTGAGTGCCTATCACCTGCAGTTTCAGAAGTAATATTTTATGAGGAACTTTACCAGAAACCTTCTAAATATTTGAATACCTTATATCACATGCTCTGTGTGTTCATTGCTGTTGTTGTTTGTTCAAGAAACAATACATTGGTTGGCCAAGCCCTGCCTTTTCCAACTCCATGTTGACTTTTCCATAGGATATTATTTCCATGGAGATCATATTCTAATAGTTCTTATGATCGTTCTCACAACGATTATGTAATGGTCTCATAACCTTACATGTAAAAGAAGTGAGAATTATTGGTCTATAACTACTTGATTAAGTTTTCTTGTATTTACTTTCTCTGCTTGTTCGTGTGATAGCTGGCAAACGTGTCCAGAGATCTGCCCTTCAGACACTCTTGAGCAAGCCAGTGATCTTTATCTTACACACTCTTGCAATGCTGTCAAGTAAGATTTGACAAAGGCCTCGTGTAAATGTGATTCGATTCTGCAGTCCCTGATTGTAGTTTTAAATCATACAAACCTTCCAATTTCCTTCCTGTTCTACCGAGGCAGCTCTGACGATGACTTGGATCCATGAGTGCATTTTTTATTTTCTGCACAATTACAACTTTCGCAACTGAGAATTCCAGCAGATCCATTGAGAAAAACGATTCTCACCTTTTCGTCGTCCTCGGTGAAAGGACCGCCACTCGGGTTCTTGTTGATCGCCTGCGCCACGCCAATGACCTCTCCGTCACTGTTACAGATGGACATGCAGAGAATGGACTTCGTTTTGTACCCCGTCAGTTTATCAATCTCGTCACTGAACCGATGGTCCTGAAACATTTGAGGCGAATTAAACCCCTTCAGACAAACAGCACTGAGTCAGACATACAGTGCAGGCTTACCAGTACCATCTTTATAAGCAGTGCTACCCACACGGTTGCACGTTACCCTGTGTGTTAACCTGCTTTTATAAAGAAGTGTCGGCTAATATTTCCACCGTGAGGCAGAACTGCACTCAGCATTGTTTTTTCTCATTTGTCTTTGGACAGGAGAGCTCTGTGTCCGAGGCCCAGTTTTTCCCAGTGAGCAAACTGACCACCTAATTCTCAGGAATTTGTTGCAGGTAAAGTGAGGTCCTACTGTTTTAGAGCTGCTTTGAGAAAACAGGGAGCAGGTTTTGTTGTGGCTCACACAACCTTTGAAAATCACCAGAAGCACCGACGAGAGTATTCAGGAGCTTTCGGGAGTTTGGCTTGTATGAAACGGTCTTCATCTTTGACAAGATGAGAACCTTGAGGAGAAGATGAGAGTGGTGATTCCTTCAAAAGCTGTTATACTGTGTTTCCGTAAATAAGCAGGTAGTCTGTTACAGTAAATGATGTACATCTTTGTTTGCAAGAGCATGAAGATGGGCTGTTAGGCCTCCCTGAGAGGTCCTTTTGAGTTTGTCATTGCAGAGCAATGCTTCAATTAGGCCATTGGATCAGTCCTATCAATTAAATAGAGCTAAAAACATCAATGTATCTAACAATATTATTTGATGCTCCTTGTTTTCAATATACATACTGGTGTCCCAAAATGGAAATCTGAATATACACTGACCATCAGTGAAAACACAATTTACTGCATGAATTTTAGATAGCTTTTGTCGTGTTTCAAAACCTCTCCGTACAGGTGCAGAAACAGACTGTCATCAGGTGTCATCAGTAAAGAGAAAACTACAGTCTTCGACCTTTGCAACAGCACTGTGCAACTCGGCAAACTCTTCAAACCTGAATTACTGTAACTAATGGGGTGTAGTTTTGTTGGGACAGCTGCAAATCTGTGTTACTATTGTCTAAGTGACACTGCCTTTTTCCTGTAGAAGGAAACTCCAAGGGACTGAGGGGCGAACCTGTCTTTAAACCAGCTGCTGCTCTGTGTGGGCCCGGCGACCGGTCTCACCAGCCCCTCAGACACGAGCCAGCTGCGGAGGTGTTGAGCCAGCCCTGATGTTCACAGTCTACTGACTGACACAGACAGGAATGGGGCGGGATGTGTGGCACAGGACAGGAGCTGCAACCTGTCTGAAGGGATGATACAGTCACTCTCTCAACGGTCACCACAGTCACAATGATGTACAATGCATGCTCTTCATTTATATGTGTGTTTGAACTCGCTGAGGACAGAATCCTCAGGAAGCCACACTGTCGAAGGGATGTCAGGGAGCCGGAGACCGGCGAGCTCTGACTGACATGTGTTAATAAACAATTCCCGAACTTTCCCAAGACCTGCTGGTAAACAGCTAGAGGCAGCGCTCCGCAGAGAGGTGCTGCAGTTCCTCCCCTTCTCACAGCCCTGCCCTCCAGCTGCAGTCCTGGGGGAGACAGCCCCTTTCACCACTACAGCCAACAGACAGCAGAGTCGTCTTTACACATCTGAAGGAAAGAGGAGGCTCCTGCAGAGATGAAGGCTTTATCAAACAAGAACACACACAGCACCGCCTTCAGAATCCTAATGATCCTTTATAACTGTCTGTGCTACACAGAGAAGAGAAGAGCAGGGACACTGGGACTGATTTAAAGGCGAGATTCAGTCAGTACCTTTCTGTAAGCGAGCTAAAAAGACTGGATTTCCACTAGAAAGACGATCTGAGGTTTCACACAGTGGCGGTTCTTCGCTCCGCCTGTTCTCGGAGGGTTTGCTCTTGGTTAGAAGAGCGGATCTCAGCCCCAGCCTGGGGGACCCTGTGTCTTCTGGTTTTGTTCCACATGTGCCCTTAATCACCAGTGCTAAGAAACTTCCATTTTCTGTTTGAGGCTTTTTTTAAAAAAAAAACTTACTTTCAGCTCTTAAAAATCTGAATGAGATTTGTAATTCGTTTTAACCCTGTGGTAGTGATTTTCAGGACTGCCCTCATTCAGGAGTGAAAGCTGAAACAGAACTAATTGGACATGCAGTAAGCAGCAGGAAAAACAGACTCACTGAGTCTCTGGTACCCAGGGTCTGGTTGTGCCATTGCTACCTACATCTTCTTAATTTGAACTGATCACCTCTCCGTGTAAGTGCTGTTTCGCCAAAATGAAAGGAGAACAAGTAACAAGTTGATGAGAGCTGGCTTCAAGTTCTTTGTGCTGAATTTGTTGGAAATAGTGCACTAAGCTTGTTTTCAAACCAAGGACTGGGAGCAGAAAGAAGTCTAAACCAGCAAGCAGATCAGTTACAGGTGCCAATTAGCCTGGAAAATGTACTGTACATATTATACAGGAGGGGTAAAGAGACTTTCATCCTTTCTAGAAAGGAACCATCTGTTTCCTAGATTATGCCTATGTACCTGATAATCATATTTAAAACATTTCACACCACTTACATACATTGTTTCTGTTTTCTAAAATATAAAATATATTCCCTTCTAAGATACACACACCTCCTTACAGTACTGTTTGCAACAAGAGCAGAAAATCCCTGGTGACGTTTCTTTCACCTCTACGGCAGCAAACTCCAGTCAAGAAACAGCACATCTCTCCGAAACCCTAAAATAATTGCTTCCAGAAGGACGCCAATAACAAAAACTTTACAGAATCAGCCCGGCTTGTACAGATTTGACCACTGTATGTGTCCATTAGAAGAATGGAAGAAGACACTGAAAATCAGCCTCTATAAATGGGCAAAACATCTCAAGTTCGCATGAAGTTAACAACAACTTCAAGTGGGCAATAGATTCTGACCTCATTTCAGCCAGTGAAGTCCCCCTAGACTTGACCTGAGGGAGGATGTAGCCCTAGTTGAAGCCTGTGGTCATGTCATAATGAGCTACAGCTCTGACACAAACGAGCTACTGGTGTACAGGAAAACAAAGTCAAGATCTCATGAATACACATCACTTCCAGCAACTGCTTTTGTTTAAATCGCTTTTCATTGGCCAGTTGCTAATCGAAAGCTAAAAAGTCTCTTTCAAGGGAGCATAGAAAAGTTTTTGCAAATCTGAACTGAGATAAAGAGAATAATTGCAGGAGATTTCTTTCATCGTTAATTTAAAAATGATATTGATACCGTCTCTTCATCTGCTTAGTCAGTGTAATACATATGTGAGATGTGTTAATATTTGCAAATACTGTATATGTACTACACTCCACATCCAAATATTATATTACATTTCTTATTTCGGTGTAGAATATCAGTGCTATTACTATTTTAAGATGGTTTTAATGTGCTTACTGAAAACGTTATTGTTGTGTGAACTCAAAGCAAAAAATGGAAAAACCTACAGCAGACCTGTAGTGTTAATGGGAATCTGAGACAGCACCTTATTTAGAAGAAGATCAAGGAATGATTGTACGATACAATCACGCTTCACGGGACAGTCAGGGTCACACTCCCGCCAGTAGAGACGTTTGCTATCAGCACCTGCGTTTAAAAAAATCGGATTTCCGCGTCAAGGACGGTTTCCCGGTTCTCTTGATTTGCAGCGCGATGGTAAAGCCTCTAAATAAAACGTGAGGAACTGGAATCTGTTCAAGGTCCAGATTCCCGCTGCAGCCGGTGCGCTCACCTCATAGGCGTCGGGGATGTTGACGGTCTCGCCGTGCTCAGCCACGTAGCCAATTATGCCCTTCCCCCAGGGCACCTGCACCTCGCTGGAGTTCTCCGTGCTGGACGAGGGCAGCACGGTCGTCCCCGAGTGAACGTCGAAAAACTTGGACACCAGCGTCCTCTTGTGAGGCGGGCCCTCCACCAGGAACAGAGAGCACCTGTCCGCGTCCACCAGGATGCACACGTTTAGGAGAATCTTGTAGCAGAGACTGGGCATGTCCAGGTCGTTGGAGATGTCCTTGACGAGCTCTAAGAAAAACTCCCTCTCGTTCGACTCCTTGAGCCTGCGCTTGTACTCGATGGCGCTGGAGGCGTACTGGGGGACGTTGACTCTGGACTCCAGCAGGGCGCTCAGGATGTGCGCCGGGGTGGGGGGCAAGGAGCTGGCTTTGCGCAGGAGGGCTCTCCTCCGCGTGCTGGACTGGGGGTCGTGGGCGCCGAGGTTGTCGTGCTCGTCGTAGGTCCGGTGCGCGGTCATGGCTCGGGAGCGAGCGAAGTTCCTCCTCAGCTGCAGGTGGGAGGATCGCCGCTGGAAACCGCCGGCTTTGGCATCCCGGAGCGGCTCTGAGCCACAGCCCGGGCTGTGCTTGTCTTCTGGTGGCGCCTTGTGCGGCTGGTGCGCTCTCAGCCACCTGCTCACCGCTTCACTCTTGCCCTTCCGAATCAAGTAGTCTTCGAAAAGATCCGGGTGGCAGTCCAGGAACGCTTCCACGTCCGAAAAGCCAAAGGCAGTCATTCTGAGACGAGCAGAGACGCGGCAGAGAGACAGTCAGCCGCTAAATGTGCCCCGTTGCGTTACAGTCCACCAGGTCTTTACCAAACACATGCCCCTTCGCAGACCAGCCTGCATCTCCCGAAGAGCTACCCGCTCATTACGCTCAGCAACTTTCTCACTAGTGTTGAAGCGCGCCGTCTTCCCCTTTTAAACGGAATCCCGCTGTGACAAGTAGAAAAATGAAGCGGAGTTCTGGTGATTCTGCAGTAAAATAACGAAGCAGGCAGTTTATAAAGACCTGCTGTCAGTCGGGAGACGGGGAGGACTTCGGTCTTAACGCAGCGCCTTGGCACTTGAGTCTGCCTTCAGATTTCTAATGCGCCTCGGCCAGCGGGAGAGCGGTCTGGCCAGCAGAGAGCCCTGCACAGCTGGACGGACAGTTATGAACAGCAGATTCTCGATGAAAGTGTAAAGGTTAACGTGTGTTTCTTTAAAATGGAAGAGCTTAACATCACTCGTATCGAACAGAAGGAATGCGCGCAAAGCTGTTCAAAATTATAAAGAGCTCAGAGGTTTTTCTTCTCTGAAACCCCTGGAACAGGCTGTGCAGGTGCAGCGCACCTGTGCGCCGGTCTTGTACTGTGGGCTTGTGCGCATCTGAATCGACTTCTAACCTTCTTCATCGTGCACGTCCCGCCTCCTCCTCCTCTCTCGCTGTCTGGAGCTCGTGTGAGTGTAATTACAGTAGCTGCTTGGAAATCGCGGAAGGGCGACTTTAGCAGAACACTGTCACCCAAGCCATTGATCTACCCGGAATAATACAAACCTTTAACGTCCAGGGACTCTGCTAATTAAGAGCTCCCGTCGCTCTTCCTGCGATGCGATTAAATGGATGAAGCCCCCATTTCACCCCAGCATTGCTGTTTGAGCATTTTCAGAAACATTTATTAGGCATTCAGATAAACTGTTCGTTTAATCTTTTACATAAAAGGTTTGTCACTCATTTTCGAAACAAAAGACTAAAATAGATTCGATGCCATGTTAGATGAAACGGCCTCCCATCGACTGTATATTTGGAAAACCTTCAAGTTGATTCACATTACTGAGAAAAGAAGGAAACAAGCTCCTCTTTTGTTTGGTCACAATAAATCCAGCTTAATTCAAGAGACCCAGTCTGAAAAGGGGCTTTTTCCTGTACATCAATTACAGTACACGGTATTGAAAACTAAAGCTCATCCAACACCGGTCCACTGCACTTTTCCTACCCAGAGATTCTGGGCTCTTTTAACACTGGCTGAGGTACCAGTCCTACTGTAGGTGTCAGCAGAAGTATGAGTCACAGGCCTGAGGCCTCTGCCCGTGTGCTCTTGTCTGGCAGCGCCGGTCGGTCAGTGGCCCAGGTGGGGCCGGGTTCAGATCTGGGAAGACAGGCCCCTCTGGCGTGGCAATGAAACACAACTGCACACTTGATGTCTTCCACAGTGCCTGTGGAGAGTCAGTAAATAACAGCTGCATCAGTGCGCAGTGCAAAGTTACAGCACGCTTGGACCGTGTGCGAGCAAAAAACAAATCTGCCATCGCCTGGTATTAAAACTGGCTCAGTCAGTGAAGGCTTTTGTTGAGCTCTGTGCTTATGGGGCCGAGCCTGGGGCATGTCACTAGCAGACTGTACCCAGCATTCCCCCAGCTCTGTGCACTGGGGACGAGACGATCGCCACAGTATAGAACAGATATCGCTGCTCAGGACACAGTCCAGAGAACAGCCACCAGCTGCATCCCAGGGCTTAAGGGAACGAACTACACTGACAGGCTGAAGGAGCTGAACCTTTTCAGTCCTGAACAGCGATGACTGCGAGGAGACCTGATACAAGTATTTTAAATCCTCAAGGGCGCTGGCAAAATCAACCCAGCGGACTTCTTCAGAATGAACAGAGGAACACCAGTGAGAGGGGACCAGTGGGAGCCACAGGGAGGAGCTTATAACACTGAGCACAGGAGGCATTTCTTTCCACAAAGGGTTGTGGGAGTCTGGAACAAGCATCTCAGCCGTGCGGTTAGAGACGATATCCTGGATTCCTGCAAGAAACGACTGATTGAGACCCTGGGACCAGTTAGCTACTAACTAGCGAAAGGGCTGCATGGACTACATGTTTGTGACCTTTCCCACATTCCCAGGACCTGTCAGCCCGCACTCCCTCACTCCTTCCAGCCTGCAGGCAGGTGAGGGCACAGGGGACAGCTCTCTGTCCTCGTGTCCATGGACCGGGCTCCTCTGCGTCAAGGGGCAGGTGTGAGGGGGCACCTCCTCGCCCACTGCCTGTGGGTACAGGGGTGCCGCTCTGAGGCAGGGTGTATAAGGGCCTGTTACTGTCAAGATTCAGTAGGCTCTGCTGAGAGAGTAGCGAACCACACACAATCCTGCTTCTGCTGGAAACCGCTGAACTGCTATTGATCTCTGTTCATCTCTTACTGTCAGGAGGTGTCACAGAAGCAGTAGGGTGCTCTAGTGTGTTTCATGCTTAAATGCTGTTGTTGAAGACAATCTGCTAGCATTCTGCTTTCTGCCTGCATCAATAGAAGTGTAACATACATATTGGTTTTCCTTTAATAAACATTGTGGTTTAACATGTGTAACAGAGGGGACTAAGGCTGTGAGGAACCATGTTATTTTAACTGAATGACAAATTTGATCTGATTTATTAAAAGTGGTGCTTGGTGGTTTGGTGATTTGGCTTTTAAAAGGAGTCATATCTTTGTCTAAAATACCATGTAGGATAACAAGTATATGCTGTGTATATTACTAATTCAATAAACAGCTTCAGGCTTAATCAAAACAATAATATGAGCAGTATATATACAGTACACAGTAAGCAATATGCTTTAGTAGTTCAGGTGGGTACTGTAGCTGCGTCAGCATGTGTAGGCTGCAAAAGAACAAGTAATAGGTTTTAATAAAGTAATAGGAATAAATAAATAATAATAAATAATAAAGTAAAAGGAATAAACATATTACTTGTTCCTTTGCAAACAACGGTGAAATTTAGCTATCAACAGTAAAAGTCATTCTTTTAACATAAAATAACAAATATCTGTGTCTACGCTATTATACTGAGTAATTTCCACTGATTAATCCTGGAAGCCTCGGCTCATGTCATGTTGCGCATAGAAGCAATTTCCATTGCCTCAGCTGAGTTACATCTGGCACACAAACAATGTGCTTCACGTAAAATTGACCTTATTTCTGGACATGAAAAAAAGAAGATGGATGTTGTTCCCACTCTTTTCCACAAGAGGGCACTAAAACACAGGTTGGACGTACTATCCGAGTGCGGTAGTTCAGTCAATTCTATGAAGATGACAAGTGAAAAAGCAAACAAAAAAATAATAATTTTCTAACACGGATCTCTTGGGAGGCAGCTCAGCAATATGTAAAGTACTCAGATATTTGTTAATTGGTATAATGTAAACTAATTGTAATGAACTGTTATTTTTTAAAATAATTTGCTTTCAAGCATTTTTAGAAAACATAAAAAAATGTCATGGGGTTTATGATGCTGGCCACTGGCCATCTCTCCCCCTCCCCCTCTCAGTGAGTCTCCTACTGCAGGCCTGCACAATTTGTTGTGCTGTCAGGCCAAGTGTTTGTGGCACAGCCTTTCAGCATCATCTCACAGCTCTTCATAGACAAAGCAGCACTGAATACAGCAGCTTTTAGTTGCTAGTACACTTCAGAAGAGAGAACGTCTTCCAGCTTCTGCTTGTTATGTGAAACCCTAATTTGATTCCAGGTCGAAAGGAGTTTCTTGTTGTCATGAATAATTCTGGATTTGTTCATTCAGGGGTGTTTCTTCCAGTGCAGGCCTGAACTAAAGAACAGTCTGGTCCACAACTGGCACATTGCTGTAAATCCCAGTGCTCCTCCACACATACTGTACGGTGGCAATTAATACTCACTCTCCCAGCAGGCAGATCTGTATAAATACTGTCCCTGAGTAATCAAATCAGGACACTGAAGGTAAAATGGCTGTTATCTCGGTCTCCACTGAAGTGTTGTTAACATTTCATTAAAGGTCAAAACTCAGGGAACAAATGCCATGTCTTTATCAGTGCATGGTTAGTATGAACTGTAAAATAATATGCAAGTTTAACATTGTATTTGATTGAGTGGGGTGAAGGTCTTTCATCTGAATCGGTGGTTCTGTCAATGAAAATCTGTTTGGGATGAATGTTTGGGATGAATCCCATTATGTGTCCTAGTTCTGACATGAATGGGAAGTTAAATGGGGACCATTATCTCTCCTCCACTGGGCACACATTGCTTATCCCAGGTCTCCGGTCACCATGGCCTCTGGAAGTACCTAATGAGCTGAGTAATTGTAATTAGCACAACATAGTTTGCTTCCTCGCACAAAACAGAAAATTGTTTTGAACATCCTGAAATTCTCTGCATTTCTCCTGAATATTCTTTGTTCTAAGCTTCAATTAGTTGTTTAATTAGAGGGTCGTTGTCATTGTATGGTCAGCAGGAAAAAAAACTGTTTTGTTTAGGCGCCTTATAAGTAAGGCGTGCACAGCAGAGGATCCAGACGCATCTGAGGGAACCTCCACACAGAATGACACCCAACTCCTGCTGGCCAGTGCTCCTGCTCTTGGGCTGCTCTGTGCTCCAGACCCCAGCTGCACAGAGCGCGGACGAGCGCCCTCTCTCGGCTGACCAGGACCGTCTGGACCCAGATGTGAGTGACCTGGACACTGCTCGGGACCGACGTTTCAGACTCGCAGGATTCCGCACATGAGTTCGCAATCTGGCACAGCGCCGCATAAGAGCCATGTTTCTAAGAGATAAGATCTGTGGAAGAATAAGACAAGTTCTTTCACCATGCATGAGACTATTGTTGGAATCTTCTGTCACCCATTTCAGTGACTTTGTGAGGTTTGTCTGTTCCATTATGCAGTATGTTTTTTTTGTTTTCTGACAACCATTACCATCATGAACTGAAGCCTTCATCTTAATTTTTTAAAATTATTTCCAAAGATTAAACATGTCAATATCCTTATAACATGTCTAAGAACCTCTTAAATAATTAAGTGGTATCTTATAAAATCACAGTTTTGACAGGGATTTTAAATTGCAGCTACATGTAACAGTAGGTACTGTATGTGTTAAAAGCCTTGGATCATTCCAAAGACCATTTGTTTACTGGTCAATAAAACTGTGAAAGAAACCAGAAATGTAATGTCAGCCCACACACCAGGCGCACAGCCTGGGAGAGAAAAGATTAGGGAACAACAACATCTTCAGCATCAAGTCTCTCTTTAAGGGTCTTTTCACTCAGACACCTGTGGATAAAATCGGCAGCTCTTTCTGATTGGATTCTTAAATCTGTCTGGCAAGATAACGTTCATCAGTTTAACAACTAAGGAAAGGCACTGAGTTTGTCACTTCTGAAATGTAGAATGTGCACAAAATATAATAATCAATATCAGTTAATGGTCTCTTTTCAGCGCTTGGAATTTGTTTAACTTTCATATGAGTTGGAATGGTAGTCATAATATATATATAAATGTACAGTATCTCTTTCTTTAATTCTAGGCCACACATGAAAATATGCAAGAAGAACTCAGAAGTATTGAGCTGGAGAGAATTCAAGACATCCTGCCATCCGTCACCAGGAAAATCGATGTGCCCACCATTCAGAAACTGTACCACTCCGTGACCAACCTGCCGCTCCGCTTTGGGAGAGCGTCCCAGCCCGTCGCCAATCTGCCCCTGCGGTTCGGCAGAGGCCTGACTGAGGGCTCGGCACGCAAGGCCAAGGCGGCGCTCAATCTGCCCCAGCGCTTCGGCCGGGCCCCGGCGCGCCTGCCCCCTCTTCCCGCGGTGCCGCAGCGGCGGGCCCGCACGGTCG